TTCTCTACACGACATTTGAGGTGTGGAAGACCGCATTTTCTTCAATTTTATCGATAGGCCTAAAAGTAACAAATATACTTTCCTATTGAAATAAAACAAAAGGAACAAAAGAAGAAAAAAAAAATAAAGAAATAATTTCATCTATAGTCTCAAATTTTTCAAAAAAGGGCAAATGAGTTTTTTTTTTAATTGAAAAATTAAAATAAAAATGTCTTTTTCTCTCCCACCTTCCCCATATTTCTACCACCAAGAAGAAGAAGAAGAAGAAATAGAGAATTAATTGCAACCATAGTCTCAAATGTTTCAAAAAATTGCAAAAGACTCCGCTCAAATAAACTATAGAGTGTTTATAAATAACACCAAATTATATTGAATATGAGTTTGACGTACCATAATGAAATTCATAAGAAAAAACTAAAATGGATGGTAGGTTAAATCGATTTTTTTTGTTCTTGTTATTAAAATGGAAATTCAGATTATAATCGACGGTTGTCGATTTTAATATTCAAAATCAATTAAAACTTTGGTAGAATCGAACATAATTAATCGATTCTGATCCAATTCTAGCTTTATCAAATGGTTGTGATAACTTTTGACAACCACTAATCACAAGACATGAAAAAGTTCATTTGTCTGGTCACTTGTCAAATAAATAACCTTCCTTGCAATTCTAAAATATGTAACCATAAATTAAACCCTAAACCCTAAAGATTGAATGATCCTAGGCATCTGATCGAAAATCAGTCGGGAAATCATCGATGAAAAAATTCAGACCTCCACCGAAGAGGAAGAAACTCGATGATCCATCCTCGTACAGGTAATCGGTTCCTCAATTCCGCTATCCATTTTCACCCCTGAATTGATAAATATTTGAATTTATTTGCACTCGATTATTCCCCAAATCTCGATAGCTTTTCATATATCTTCTCGCTAAAGGCAGTGTTTTATTGTTAAATTAGAACAATCTGTATTGATTTTAGTATTAAAAACTAAAAGGGCAAAAAGAAGTCCTGATTATACAGTATTCATTTCTATGGATTTAAAGAGGGAAATTATATGGTGCAAATTCTCTCAGCTATCAATTCCCCAACTAGTTGCATATAAATCTTGATTTATATGGAAGATAGTCAGAAGAGATTGATAGTTTTATCTCTGAAATTTCGAAAATATGATGGGATTTTAGGGTTGTCTAATCCAACCAGTAAACGGAAAACGAAAAGCAATGGACTTCGGTGGTGGTAATTATCTGATTTATTAACTCCCCGTGTGGGAACAATTTATAAACAGTTAAATTTATAAATAGATAGAAATGGGTGGTGAATAAGCCTATAGTAAACTTTTGGCTCCATTGGAATGTTGTTAGAAAATGAAGTTTTACCTTTTATACAAATGGAAGCTAAGTGATTAAATTAAAATGTGTGTATTTTTTTATTTTAATTTGTATCTTGGACAAGGCAATACGAAGTGGTCGCCTGTCGTAAACCCTTATAGTGTCTTCAGTAAGTTCTTTGCATCGTCGAATCTCTTGGCCATGGATGTAAATGAATCTAGCATGAATTTTTCCTTTCCTGTAAGGGGAAATTCTTGGTTGCAGGATTTGATATCAGTTATCTCTTTTCATTGCAGGCCTATTGACTCGCCATCAGAGAAGAGAGATGCAGTTTCAACACCAGTCAATAAACCATTGGTACACATTTTCCTTGACCCGTGAAACATGGACACTACTAGGGTGGAGTGTCGTTGTTCAACATGAAACGGACATTGACACTCCTTAGAATGTGCCACACATTGTCCTTTTTTATATATTTTAATTTTTTTAATCTTTAATTTTTGGTTTGAAACGCAACACAAGTAATACTTCCCTGATAAGTCTTGGGCACGAAAATGCCATGAAATACCTTGTCTTATATATATTTTTATATTGTTTTAATTTCTGATGCACAATCGACGTGTCAAGGACACGAAAAACTCCATTTCGAATATTTTAGAAGTCTAATATAGCAAAGATTAACTGTTACGCATGTCAAAATCTAAAATAATGGGTGAAAATTCTAAAACTTCATGTCAAATTTGTTTTATGTGAACTTATGCATTTTTTCTATGTTGGCACTATAGACGAGTAATAAATAGTATAACCCAGTTATTCGGAGGTAGTAGTAACTCTTGTAAATTGGAAGATATAACCTGCAAAACTCAAAATGAAAGCTAAAAAGGTATAGAAATAGAGGTGAAATCTGTAAACTTATCATTTTATTCACGCTGTATGTATGTGTCATGTGTCCGTTGTCCATATCCAAGTTTCGTTACTTTTTGTCTTTGCTTGCTCGATCATATTATTTTTGCTTCATTTGTAACGTATACTGCATGTGATGAATGTGGAGGTTTTGGAGGCTCAAACAAGCACCATCGACATCAGGATTCAACAGGCGAGGAATTCTGCAGTAGCTCAGGCACGGCAAGATGGTTGTACCGGCAACTTCAGAATATTTGATTCACCATATGGGAATTATCTTGTGCCCGTGATCCCTACACTTGCAGACCTCGGTCAATAGCTTGATGGTATTCTCATATGTAAGAACCCAAGTTTGACACAGAAAGTCTAAATCTCATTCATTTTGGTGGTTCTTGTGATTATCTTCTTGATAAATCATACCAATTCGAATCCTCCCAAGTCACTAAGGTGAGCACTCGGTTGTAAAGTTCAGGACCCCGTGGGATTACTCGAAGCGCGCGTAAGTTGGCCCAGATCTTCTTGATTAATCATTGTTGTAATTATACCAACTGGACCTAATCCTGTGCTTGAGTTTAGTCGGTCAAAGTTCCTCTTTCTCCTTTCATTAATACACTATTTGGACTTGATAAATTAGCACTAGGAGAGCCTTGTCTAGAAATGAATCAGATTTGGCCCCTACCATTTCAAGACTTCATTCAAAACTAAACAGTTTTATAAAAAGATCGAAAACCATGTATGCTGTCATGCTACGAAGATCCTTTAGATCTTTAAGGGCATGCTTTTGGCTTTAAAGTTACTAATACATTACGCATAAAACTGTTGAAATTTGATCGTTAATGGAATTAGTGTCAGAACTAAGTACTCCAAAGCATGGGCGAGAAATGTTTGGTTTATAAAACTATTGGCAATCTCCATTTCGACCTTGGTATATTCATAGCTAAATAACATATTGATAGCTATTCTTTAGCGACATTTTCATTGTACAATTTCATGGCGCGACCAATGTGTTAATTTCACCATGGCCATTGTACTTTCTACTCAATGTTAGTATGATTATCGAACTTTAACTTAGTTTAGTGTCATCATCGAACTTTAATTGTTTGTATAAAGTTTGGGTAAATAGCAGTGGGGCCTCCTAAACTTTGAATCTTGGACGATGGGTCCCGAACCTTTGATTTCTAGAACTTGAAGTCACAAATCTTTCAAATGTCTTCACATAAGATTCTTTTGTAATGGAAATGTAAGTTTGACCATAACAAATCAAAATTTGAGTATAAGGATCATTGTTTCCTTAATTTGATTCAAAATAAAAGAATAAAAGTGGATTCGTTCTAGAAAACGTTCTGATGTGATCAATTTCTCGTAGGGGTGAAGGCGTTTTCTGAAAGTTCCTTGCTTTTGTACTTTGATGGGTCTTTGAGATCCTTTCGATGACCTAATTCGCAAGAGATCAAATTCAAGTTGCTGCTCAATAGAAATAATTTGAATTGAAACAGACGTATAGAATTGAAGAATAAAAAAATATAAAGTGAAAAACAAAAAGGAAAAATTGAGGTTCATTTCTCAAACCAAATTCACCAACACCAATAATTCAAACATAAATTCAAATCTTAAGTTATAAAGATTAAATAAAATTACAATTTTATTCATAAGAATTTTTTATGTTTCATTAGAAAATTGGAATGTTACTTTTTCGCTTCGTTTTATAATTCTTTTCTTCATTTATTTTAACTCAAACTAAAGGTACAACAAATTAAAGTTCGATTTGGGGACCATGGTGAAAAGAATAAAGTTCAGTGACTATAGTGATAATAAATGAAAAGTTCAACGGCTGCGAGTGAAATTAATCCTTCAACCAATTGATTGCTGATGTAAAGCTTGTCGAATTTATAAAGGCAGCTGTGTTAAATGGTTTATCCAAATTCAGATCTGTGAGTATGTCCCACTGAAACTGGCATATTTCAGCAGCCCACATGATTACATGCCCAAACCGATGAACTTGGTCCGTTGTATGTGCTGGGAATTATAAGAATTTCCCCACAAAGAGAATTGATTATTCAGAAATAAAACGTGTAGACATGAAGTGATAACTAGTTGACTTTTTATTTTTTTAAAAGAAAATGAACAGAGAGAAAAATAAAATTACGTATGCATCTATCAAGCTGTCTGTACAATTCAACACAGTACATGTACAAATCTTTCCATTTTCCAAATTGATAACGCTCTCAATTCGAAGATTTAGGATTTGAATTAAGGTCATCTCTCAAGATCTTTGACCTCTACCCATACCCGATGAAAAAAAGAGATCACTTCTTATAAAGTAGTTTTCATAAGCAATTTAACATTTACTTATTAAAGAATTAGCACTTGATAAAGTGAGAATTTATTTGCTCTCTTGGATAAATCGACGATTCTATAAACACGTAGGAATTTCAGGATGCCATCCCTAACTGCCTCGCGGCTTCCAGTGTATCAAGATTTGAATAGTTTGACATTTGAGGTATCTTAATTTGAACCGACAAGCCGGTTGAATCCTAAGCAAACATGCAAATACATTACTTTTTCTAAATTATTTGAGACAACTTTATTGCACGCCGCATGAAGGACCTTGTCACAAAGTTTTGCACTATGTAGCTCGCTTTAACCTTACGCAAGAATTTCAGCGAAGAAAGTTCGGACCACAAATCTGTGTGCTCATCTGAAACACAGGGGGATAGATTATTATATGGTATAAAAAGAGAAGGTGAAGTCTCTTACATCTTTCCCAAATTGTAATTTATTGAAGTAGCATTCAAATAACAGTAAAGAATTTTACAGTTTTAGAGAGATATATATGAATCTGGTCCTAAAGGTGCTACTTGTTCCCTGTCCTTTTCTTCTTCACTTTTTTAATTACACAAAAAATCTTCCCCCCAAATAATCATTTCCCATACACACACTGCTTCCACGTGCTTCTTTTAATTACTTTTAAGTAAAATCAAATCAAAGCTTCAATCTTTGACAAATAAAGTACACAGTGAATTGTGGGTTTTGTGTTGTTCATAATACTGAGATGGGGAAGGTCGTGGCGGCGGCAGCGGTGGTGTGTACGGCGGCTGTATGTGCTGCAGCTGTGCTGGTGATGAGACACCGGATGAAGAGCTCTGGGAGGTGGGCCAAAGCGGAGGCCATTTTAAGAGAGCTGGAGGAGAAGTGTGGGACCCCAACTGGTAAGCTCCGGCAGGTGGCTGACGCCATGGCTGTTGAGATGCACGCCGGCCTCGCCTCCGAAGGCGGCAGCAAACTTAAGATGCTCATCAGCTATGTTGATAACCTTCCCACTGGGTATGTTTACTTGATTCTTGTTTGATGTTTGATTCGGTTTTATTTGTGATTTAACCAAGTCTTTGGGATAAAAGGTGTGATCTTGAAGCATTTTCTAATATTTGTTATGTTTCAGTAAACTCAGCTCCCATATGAATAAATCTTGGAGTTTACTTGCTTTAACGTATAAGGACTTGTTTGGAATGTACTATAGAACTGTATTGGATGGCAACTCGATAAGTTTTAGCTACTTTTTCTGATATTGTCAAGCGTGGTCCAATTCACCTTATCGAACATGCCAGTGTAGGGTCAGCTCGTTTATCACTAACTTGCATCACATCATTTATTGATGCTTATATCTATGATAATATTAATGCAAGGTGAGCTTCCAGTACAATCTTAGTGCAAGATGTGGTTGTACCGGTGAAATTGGTTATTGAATATGAAACCTTATTTTCATGATTAGGGAAAAATATTTAGCCCGTTATTTTAAAATATGGTTCATATTTGCATAGTATAGATTTGACTTTATTGTAAAATGGTGATTTTTTTCTTGGTTATCACATGCATTGATGTTATTTGGTAGTGACTGCGGATGTGGATTTTCTGAAATAGCCTTTTTAACCATCATATGGATGTTTCAAAGACACTGGAGAAATGATACATGCTTTGATGTCTGAGTATTGAATTGGAAACTTTACATTTTAAGGCATATTCTGATTTCAGTTTAATGTTTTGGTTGAGTTGAGGGTTCACTCACGTCGTGGCAATCTTATGCTAACAGACAATTACTGGTCTCTTTAATAAACTTCTTTTGGTCTTGAATGCTTTGTTCCGCCCTAAGATTTTTTTGTACTTTTTTGAATGTCAGTCGTGTAGGTAACTAGGGGCTTTCTTATTTTTGAATCCTCTTTTGTGCCTTTCTCATTGTGTCAACCTTTAAATACACAAATGATTTCATTTCTTCACCTTTTGGCATGTGAGTACCGCCTTATGCATTCAACATCTTTTATTTCTTTACTTCTTCTCCTCTTTGGCTCATTATCGGGTTCATTTATTGGTTTCTTTATCATCCTCACATGTTAAAAACCATTTTGCAGTTCTCTTTTTATTTTTTATTTTGGTTTTTGACTTTCTGATATTGTTATCAATTCTGTTGACTTGATTTGCTGAGTAGTCAAAAGCGCAGTAGCTCACCATTTGACTACTATCTGACCTGATTTTGTTGCATAATTTGACACATATACTATGTGAAGATTCTCTTAGTTTGGCTTATATGATTGTGTAATCCTATTGAGCATGATTAGCTCCTCAAAGAATGTTAGCACTTTTAACAAACTAAAACACTATCCAATTTCAGTACTTTATAGAATTAGCATTTCAAAATTTTCCCTGACATTATCAATACGCTCATGTGAAATCATTACTCCGACTTAGCTTTTCATTGTTTTCCTGAAATGTTTTAGATTATCAAGCCTAACATATGGCTAGCTAGTTCAGATATTAATGTGCCTCGTTTTGTCCTGACAGTGATCATTACTATAATAAATCAAAATATCAATGGTTGTACATCATGAATGTTGTGGTTGTTTTTTTCCTTGTAATTTCTGTTTTAACCGTGATTTGACCTTGTAATTTCGTTGTGGTATTAGTTCTACAAAAGCTCCTGTACAAGTTTGTTCGAAGTAACAAATTGAAATGGATCACCAGGTTTTCAGATAATGGAAGTTGGTAGAAGAGTGATCTCAATCACTTCATAAAGGCTTTACAGTAAACTGGATACAGATATTGGAACATTATTCCGAGAAAAAAACTAAGAACTATGCCATTAAATATTCTATTCCCCCCATTATCTTGGGGTCAAGAAACCTTTTCTGGATTGTAGAGCCTTGGTTCTAACCGATCCTCTACTAAATTTATATGAATGAGTAATTGTTATTTCTTCGCTTTTCTTCATGGAGAATAAGACTTCACTTTTGTGATTGTGATTCCTCGATCTTTTCTGTTTCAGGGATGAAGAAGGAGTATTTTATGCATTGGACCTAGGGGGCACAAACTTCCGAGTCCTGCGAGTGCAGCTTGGTGGAAAAGAAAAACATGTGGTCAAAAGAGAATCCGAAGAACTTTCAATTCCTCCACATTTGATGGTTGGGTCACCTAATGTAAGTGTGTACTCAGCCTTTCTTTCAGTTTTAAATGTCCTTTCAATTGTTCTTATGCTGTGTAGTTCTGTTTTGTGGTGATTCCAGGATTTGTTTGATTTTATCGCTGCTGCAGTTGCAAAATTTGTTGCAACAGAAGGTGCAGACTTTGTTCTTCCACCTGGCAGGCAAAGGGAGCTGGGTTTCACCTTTTCCTTCCCAGTTAAGCAAATATCGTTGGCATCTGGAACTCTTATAAAGTGGACAAAAGGCTTCCTTATAGAAGATGCAGTTAGTTTCGGACCTTAGCTTTTTCTCTTGTTCTTTTCCATTGTTGTGTTTTTAATTCTGTTTATTGTGATCTATGCAGAGGCTATCCTAGTACACTTGGGTTCTGTTATATTGAATAAACCATAAAAAAAATGAATTCAGAAAACGAACAAAGAACACAAATTTATAGTGTTTCACCCTTAGTGTGAGAGCTATATTGACTCGCCATAGCATATTTCACAAAAATCCAGAAGAACAAGAAATTCACAATGAAGATCTCGCACCTTTCGGTCTTTTTTTTCTCTCACACCTCACACGAGAAAAATGGCTCCCTCAAATTCCTTTACGTAGAAGCTAGGGCGTCCTAATGCAAAGAATTGGATGCCCCAATATGCCCCTGGGGGAGGCTTTGGTCTACATAGCCTTATCCTTGCATGCAGAGACTCTGTCATTCAAAATTAAGGAAATCAGCACGAACTGCTGCAGTCGAATGAAATTGGAACAAATCATTATATTGAGTTACACCCATCTTATTCTTGTGCTATTTTCTGCCCATCTTTAATATTAAAGATAATGATAATCTTGTGCCTGTTTTAGGGGCAAGCAAAGTGATATTAATATAAAATAACACTCTTATGGCCCACAAATTCAACTTAGAAGTTTGTAATTCATCTCTCTATTTTTTATGCCCCCATGGTGATTTATCGTGGCACTGAATAAATAACTTGGTACATGTGTTTATGACAAGACTGGGAACAGTCTCTCGCTCTCCCTTTTTTTTTTGGTCTTTTGACGTTAGTGATAAATAACTTGTCACATTGACCCTGCTAAGTGCGTTTTAACAATTTTTCCCTTGTTGGTCAATTTATTATATGACCTTTTTATGATGTATGCTATGTTTCTATCACGTGTTTTAGTAAACTGGTTAATGTTATGTTTGTTCTGTGAGTGTCAATCAATTCATTTGCTTGATTAATGTAAACCAGTACTCTGTTGCCTGTGCTATAAGTAAGAATAGGTCATTTCTGTTGCACCATACCAATCTCGCGATGACTGTCCTTTGAATACTGTTTCTCTTTTAGCTTTATAGCCTCTCC